TGGTCTTTTTATATTTTCCATTTCTTCCTGGTTCAGTCTTGGAGGTTGTGCTTTTCTAAGAATTTGTCCATTTCTTCCAGGTTGTCCATTTTACTGGCATAGAGTTGCTTGTAGTAATCTCTCATGATCCTGTATATTTCTGCAGTGTCAGTTGTTACTTCTCCTTTTTCATTTCTAATTCTCTTGATTTGAGTCTTCTCCCTTTTTTTCTTGGTGAGTCTGGCTAGTGGTTTATCAATTTTGTTTATCTTCTCAAACAACCAGCTTTTAGTTTTACTGATCTTTGCCCCTGTTTCCTTCATTTCTTTTTATCTTCTCACAACCAGCTTTTAGTTTTACTGATCTTTGCCCCTGTTTCCTTCATTTCTTTTTCATTTATTTCTGATCTGATCTTTATGATTTCTTTCCTTCTGCTAACTTTGGGTTTTTTTTGTTCATCTTTCTCTAATTGCTTTAGGTGTAAGTTTAGGTTGTTTATTTGAGATGTTTCTTGTTTCTTGAGGTAGGATTGTATTGCTATAAACTTCCCTCTTAGAACTGCTTTTGCCGCATCCCATAGGTTTTGGATCTTCATGTTTTCATTATCATTTGTTTCTAGGTATTTTTTGATTTCCTCTTTGATTTCTTCAGTGATATCTTCGTTATTTAGCAGCATATTGTTTAGCCTCCATGTGTTTGTATTTTTTACAGTTTTTTTCCTGTAATTGATATCTAATCTCATAGTGTTGTGGTCGGAAAAGATACCTGATACGATTTCAGTTTTCTTAAATATACCAAGGCTTGATTTGTGACCCAAGATATGATCTATCCTGGAGAGTGTTCCATGAGCACTTGAGAAGAAAGTGTTTTCTGTTGTTTTTGGATGGAATGTCCTATAAATATCAGTTAACTCCATCTTGTTTAATGTGTCATTTAAAGCTTGTGTTTCCTTATTTATGTTCATTTTGGCTGATGTGTCCATTGGTGAAAGCGGAGTGTTAAAGTCCACTACTATTATTTACTGTCAATTTCCCCTTTTATGGCTGTTAGCATTTGCCTTTTGTATTGAGGTGCTCCTATGTTGGGTGCATAAATATTTACAATTGTTATATCTTCTTCTTGGATTGATCCTTTGATCATTATGTAGTGTCCTTCTTTGTCTCTTATAATAGTCTTTATTTTAAAGTCTATTTTGTCTGATATGAGAATTGCTACTCCAGCTTTCTTTTGATTTCCATTTGCATGGAATATCTTCTTCCATCCCCTCACTGTCAGTCTGTATGTGTCCCTAGATCTGAAGTGGGTCTCTTGTAGATGGCATATGTACGGGTCTTGTTTTTGTATGCATTCAGCCAGTCTGTGTCTTTTGGTTGGAGCATTTAATCCATTCACATTTAAGGCAATTATTGATATGTATGTTCCTATTACCATTTTCTTAGTTGTTTTGGGTTTGTTTTTGTAGGTCTTTTCCTTCTCTTTTGTTTCCTGCCTAGAGAAATTCCTTTAGCATTTGTTGTAAAGCTGGTTTGGTAGTGTTGAATTCTCTTAATTTTTGCTTGTTTGTAAAGGTTTTAATTTCTCCTTCAAATTTGAATGAGATCCGTGCTGGGTAGAGTAATCTTGGTTGTAGGTTTTTCCCTTTCATCACTTTAAATATGTCCTGCCACTCCCTTCTGGCTTGCAGAGTTTCTTTACCTTATGGGGATTCCCTTGTATGTTATTTGTTGCTTTTCCCTTGCTACTTTTTTTTTTTTGCTTGCTACTTTTAATATTATTTCTTTGTATTTAATTTTTGGTAGTTGGATTAATATGTGTCTTGGCATGTTTCTCCTTGGATTTATCCTGTTTGGGACTCTCTGCGCTTCCTGGACTTGATTGACTATTTCCTTTCCCATGTTAGGGAAGTTTTCAACTATAATCTCTTCAAATATTTTCTCAGACCCTTTCTTTTTCTCTTCTTCTTCTGGGACCCCTATAATTCGAATATTGGTGCATTTAATGTTGTCTCAGACGTCTCTGAGACTATCCTCAATTCTTTTCATTCTTTTTTCTTTATTCTAATCTGCGGTAGTTATTTCCACTATTTTATCTTCCAGGTCACTTATCCGTTCTTCTGCCTCAGTTATTTTGCTATTGATTCCTTCTAGAGAATTTTAAATTTCATTTATTGTGTTGTTCATCATTGTTTGTTTGCTCTTTAGTTCTTCTAGGTCCTTGTTAAACGTTTCTTATATTTTCTCCATTCTATTTCCAAGATTTTGGATCATCTTTACTATGATCCAAAATCATTTTCATTACTCTGAATTCATTTTCAGGTAGACTGCCTATTTCCTCTTCATTTGTTCCGTCTGGTGGGTTTTTACCTTGCTTCTTCATCTGCTGCATATTTCTCTGTCTTCTCATTTTGCTTAACTTTCTGTGTTTGGGGTCTCCTTTTCACAGGCTGCATATTCGTAGTTCCTGTTGTTTTTGGTGTCTGCCCCTTGTGGGTAAGGTTGGTTCAGTGGTTTGTGTAGGCTTCCTGGTGGAGGGGACTGGTGCCTGTGTTCTGGTGGGTGGGGCTGTATCTTGTCTTTCTGGTGGGCAGGGCTGCATCTGGTGGTGTGTTTTGGGGTGTCTGTGAACTTAGTATGATTTTAGGCAGCCTCTCTGCTAATGGGTGGGGTTGTGTTCCTGTCTTGATAGTAGTTTGGTATGGGGCGTCCAGCACTGGAGCTTGCTGGCCGTTGGGTGGAGCTGGGTCTTAGCATTGAGATGGAGATCTCTAGGAGAGCTCTTGCTGATTGATATTATGTGGGGCCAGGAGGTTTCTGGTGGTCCAGTGTCCTGAACTTAGGTCTCCCACCTCAGAGGCTCAGACCTGACACCTGGCTGCAACATCAAGACCCTGTCAGCCACACAGCTCAGAAGAAAAGGGAGAAAATAAGAAAGAAAATTAAATAAAATATTTAAATTTTTTTTAATTATTAAAATAAAAAAAGAGTAATAAATAAAAGAGAGAGCAGCCAAACCAGTAAACAAATCCACCGATTATAACAAGTGCTAAAAACTATACGAAGATAAACGTAAAAATCAGAAACAAGTCAGTCGCAGACAGCAAACCCCAAGTCTACAGTTGCTCCCAAAGTCTGCCGCCTCAAGTTTGGGTTGATTTGCTGTCTGTTCAGGTATTCCACAGATGCAGGGTACCTCAAGTTGACTGTGGGGATTTAACCCACTGCTCCTGAGGCTGCACAGAGAAATTTCCCTTTCTGTTCTTTGTTCGCACAGCTCCTGGGGTTCACCTTTGGTTTTGGCCCCACCTCTGTGTGTAGGTTGCCCTCAGGCATCTGTTCCCGCCCAGACAGGATGCTGTTAAAGCAACAGCTGATTAGGGGGCTCTGGCTCACTCTTGCTGGAGAGGGGGAGGGCAGGGGGCAAGGGGTGGGGAGGGAGGGGTACGGTAGTTATAATTGGAATTGACAGTGCAGCAGCCTGACAGTGGCGGGCTGCACAGGCTCCCAGGGGGGTGTGGATAGTGACCTGTGCTTGCACACAGGATTCTTGGTGGCTGCAGTAGCAGCGTTAGCATTTCATGCCCATCTTTGGTGTCCAGGCTGTTAGCTGCAGCTCTCGCACGTCTCTGGAGCTTGTTTAGGCGGTTATCTGCCTTCTGTGGGCAGACAGGGAAGGAATCTCCTCTCCTTGCACACCCTGAAACAATGGTTTCTTTCCTCTTAGCCAGGTCCAGAGTTTTTCCCGGACCCCCTCCCGGCTAGCTATGGAGCACTAGCCCTCTTCAGGCTGTGTTCACGCAGCCAACCCCAGTGCTCTCCCTGGGGTCTGACCTCTGAAGCCCGAGCCTCAGTTCCCAGTCCCCACCTGCCCCAGTGGGTGAGCAGACAAGCCTCTTGGGCTGGTGAGTGCTTTTCGGAACCAATCCTCTGTGCGGGAATCTCTCTGCTTTGCCCTCTGCACCCCTGTTGGTGCGCTCTCCTCTGTGGCTCTGAAGGTTCCACCCCGCCCAACCCCCGTCTCCACCAGTGAAGTGTGTGGAAACTTTTCCTCCTTCATAGCTCCCTTCCAGAGGTGCAGGTCCCATCCCTATTCTTTTGTCTCTGTTTTTGCTTTTTTTCTTTTGGCCTGCCCAGGTACATGAGGATTTTCTTGCCTTTTGGGAAGCCTGAGGTCTTCTGCCAGTGTTCAGTAGGTGTTTTGTAGGAGTTGTTCCACATGTAGATGTATTTTTGATGTATTTGTGGGGAGGAAGGTGATCTCCACGTCTTACTCCTCCACCATCTTGAAGGTCCCCCCACATATCTTTTTTTATGAAAGCATTAAATGCCCAAGCTCCTGAAATTCACTTGGAACCAGCATTACCATTTTCTTAGTTCCTCATTAAAATTTTGACAGTTGTTCACTCCATAATTGTATGAAAGTTATATTTTTAACTTTTTGATAATTATACTTTGACAGCATTAACCCATTTGTAGCTCATAGAATTTGACTTGGTGTTTCTAGTAACATTTAGTTTCCTTGACTAAGGAAAAGGTCCCCAATATCTTCCCATTCCCCTTGAAGCAAAAATGAAAAACCTAATGTCAGGAGGACAGAGACCAGCAGCAACACTTGTCACTCAGTGAAGTTTCTTTGCTTTACCAGTACTGCCTAAGTGTGTCCAGGAGTACCGTGCAGCCTCAGACAAAACCTCTGCTCACTTTAGTCATCTAATTTTGTTTGTCCCAGGAGTCAGGGATGAGAATGATGGGATTCTCTCCTGGCCAGTATCTCCAGGAGAACAACCCTATAGCTGTCCCCAGTGTGGCCAAGACTTCAGCCAGCTCAGAAACCTTCTAATTCACCCGTGAAGCTGTACGGGAGAGAAGCCCTCTCCATATGACAGGGGTGGAAGAGCCTTCAGTGAAAGGACAACAGACCTTAACCTTCCTGTGTTCCTTCCAGGAAACAAGCCCTGCCGATGCATGGAGTGTTCCAGAGTCTTCAACTCAGAATTTGCTCTGAGAAGGCACAGGAAGGGCCACATGGGAAAGAAACCTCACACATGTGAGGAATGTGGGAAGGACTTCAGCCGTAGCTCCAACCTGTCCATCCATCGGCGAATACACACAGGTGAGAAGCCCTACAGATGTGGTGTGTGCGGGAAGGACTTCAGCCGCAGGTCCAACCTCTCTATCCACCAGCGCATCCACACAGGTGAGAAACCCTTCAGGTGCTCTGACTGTGGCAAGAACTTCAGCCGCAGGGCAGCCCTGCAGATCCACCAGAGTGTCCACACAGGAAGGAAGCCCCATGCCTGTAAGGTATGTGACCGGGGCTTCACCTCACGCTCTATGCTGGCACGACACCAGCAGGACCACGCAGGAGACAAGGCCTATGTGTGTGACACATGTGGCCGGGGCTTCAGCCAGAGAGCCAGCTTCTATCTGCACCAGCGTGTTCACACTGGGGAGAGGCCGTTCCGGTGCGAGGCCTGTGGAAAGTGCTTCAGCTGGAGCAAGGACCTGGGTATCCACCAGAGGGTCCACACGGGAGAGCGGCCCTACAGGTGTGAGGCTTGTGGGAGGGACTTCAGGCATCGCTCGGCCCTCAAGAGGCACCAGAGGGTGCACACAGGGGAGAAGCCCTACCCCTGTGCTGTGTGTGGGAAGGGCTTCAGTCAGAGAGTCCACCTGCAGACGCACCAGAAAGTGCACTGTAGGGAGAGGCTTCCAGGATTGGGCTCTGCACGTGCAGGTGCCTTACACGGCCAGGGCGAATGCCAGGGCATGGGTGCTGAGGTGCACAACATGGATCAGGCTTAATGATGTATGGCATTTATTAGTATTTATACAGAAAAGAGGACAGATCAACAGCACTTAGATGGAGAAATAGAACATTTTCAGCCCTCCCAAAAGACCTCTGCATGCTTTCCACTCACTACCCCACAAAGGGAGTCACTATCCTGACTTCTAAAACCATAGATTGATTTTGCAAGTTATAGAATATCATATAAGTGGAATTACGCAATATGTAATCTTTCATATAGAACTTTATTCACTCAATGTCTGCATCCATGTTGTTGCATGTATTCAGAGGTTCATTCATTTTATTACTGAGTAGTATTCCATTATTTGAATGAACCACAGTTTGTCCATTCACCTGTTGATGGACATTTACATTTGGGTTATTTCCAGGTTTTGTTCGTTATGAATAAAGCTGCTGTGAGCATTTGTGTACACACCTTTGTGTGGACATATACTTTAATTTCTCTTGGGTATATACTTAGGAGCAGAATTGATGGGTATTTTTTTAAATTAATTTTTTTAAAGAGTTTTTTTGTTGTGGACCATTTTTTTAAAAGTCTTTATTGAATTTATTACAATATTGCTTCTGTTTTATGTTTTGGTTTTTTGGCCGCGAGGCATGTGGGATCTTAGTTCCCCAACCAGGGATTGAACCTGCACCCCCTGCATTGGAAGGCAAAGTTTTAACCACAGGACCACCAGGAAAGTCCCTTGATGGGTATTTTAAAACTTGTAAAAAACTGGGCTTAGTATTGTCTTGTACATTGGATTTTTACATGTACTTGGAAAATTTCAAACAAATACAGAAATGGAACAGTGTAACAACCACTCATGTCCCCATCATCTAGCTTCAGTAATCAATTCATTATGAATTTTGTTTCTTCTATTCCACCCTGCTCCCTCACACACAGTCCTGAAGTAATTTAAAGCAAATCCTAGACTAGGATATTGTGTCATCTTTATGTAGTATATACCTTCAAAAAATAAATATTTGTTTAAAATTTTTTTCCAAAGAATCACTGTTTAAAAATTTTTTTTATTAAGGTAAAATTCAGAAAACATAAAATTCACCATTTTAACCATTTCAGAGTATATTATTCAATAGTTTTTAATATATTCACAATGTTGTGCAACCATCACCACTGTCTGATTCCAGAATATTTTCGTCAGGCCAGAAAGAAACCCCATTACTATTAAGCAGTCACTTTTCATTCTCCCCCTCTCCCAGCCTCTGGCAACCACTAATGTACTTTCTGTTTCTATAGATTTGCCTATCCTGGACACTTCATATAAAAGGAGTCAGACAATATGTGCCCTTTTACGTCTGGCTTCTTTCACTTAGCATAATGTTTTCAAGGTTCATTTATGTTGTAGCATATATTAGTACTTCATTCTTTTTATGGCCAAAGAATATTTCATTGTATGGATATACAGCATTTTAAAATCCATTTTTAAGTTGACGGACATTCGGATTGATTCCAGTTTTGGGGTTTTATGAATAATGCTACCATAAACATTCATATATGAGTTTTTCATTGAGCATATGCTTTTAATTCTTTTGGGTATATATGGAGGAGTGGAATTAGTGGGTCATATGATCATTCTGTTTTACTGTTTGAAGAACTGCTGAATTGTTTTCCATAGATGCATTTTATCTTGCCATCAGCAATGTATGAGGGTCCCACTTGCTCCACATCCTCAGCAACACTTGTCATTTCCCATATTTTGTTTGTTTGTTTATTTTGTTTTTAATCATAGCCATGCTAGTGGCTGTGAAGTGGTATCTTACTGTGATTTTGATTTATGTTTCTCTAATTACTAATGATGTTGAACTTCTCTTTATGTGTTTATTGGCCATTTGTATATCTTCTTTAGAGAAATGTCTATTCAAGTGCTGTGCCCATTTTTAAATTGGATTGTTTATCTTCTTGTGTTTGAGTTGTAATGGTTATTTAAATAATCCCAGGCCCTTATGAATATATTATTTGCAAAGATTTTCTCCCATTCTTTGGATTGTGTTTTCATTTTCTTGTTGGTGTCCTTTGATGTGTAAAAGTTTTTAGTTTTGATGAAGTCCAATTTATTCTTTTCTCTTATGCTTGTGCTTTTGCTGTCATATTTAAGAAATAGTTACATAATGCAAAGTCACAAAAAGTTATACCTATTTTTCCTTTTAAGAGTTTTATAGTTTTAGCTCCTACATTTAAGTTTGATCCATTTTGAATCAATTTTTGTATATAGTATGAGGTAGAAGTCCAAATTAGTTCTTTTGCATGTTGATACCCAATTGTCCCAGCACCATTTGTTGAAAAGACTATTCTTTCCCCATTGACTAGTCTTGAACCCTTCCTGAAAATCAGTTGACCATATGTGTGGGTTTATTTCTGGACTCTCAAGTTAATTCCACTGAGCTGGAACTTCCCTGGCAGTCCAGTGGTTGGGACTCTGCACTTCCACAGCAGGGGCCAGGTTCAATCCCTGGTCAGGGAACTAGGATCCTGCCTGCCACACACCATGGCCAAAAAAAAAAAAAAAAAAATCAACATCAATTCCATTGATCTATATGTCTGTCTTTGTGCCAGTACCATACTGGTTTGATTACTGTAGCATTGTAGTAGTTTTGAAAACAAGAAATGTGAGTCCTTCAATTTTGTTCTTCAAGAAAAAATATACTTTTGGCCATTCCTTTGCAATAACAATATGACTTTTAGAGTCAGCTTGTCCATTTCTGCAAAAAAGGCTATTGGGATTATGATATGGATTGCACTGACTCTGCAGTAACTTTGGGGAGTATTGCCATCTTACCAACATTAAGTCTTCCAGTCCATGAACACAGGATGTTTTTCTGTTTATTTGGTTTTCTTTAATTTCTTTCAACAATATGTTTTGTAGTTTTCAGTGTACAAGTCTTATACCTCATTAGTTAAACTTATTCTTAAGTATCTTATTAATGTTATTGTAAATGGAATTGTTTTCTTAATTTCATTTTTGGGTTCATTGCTGGTGTATGGAAATACAACTGTGTTTTGTATATCAATTTTGTATCCTGCAATTTTGCTGAACTCGTTTATTAGCTCTAATGGTTTTTTAGTGGATTCTTTAGAGTTTTCTATAAGATCGTATTATCTGTGAATAGATAGTTTTATTTTTTCCTTTTCAATTTGGATACCATTTATTTCTTTTTCTTGCCCAATTGCCCTGGCTAGAACTTCCAGGCCAATGTTTAAGAGACCTGTTGAGAGCAGATATTCTTGTATTGTTTCTTGTCTTAGAAGGGAAAGCTTTCACCATTAAGTGTGATATTAGTTATAGGTATTTTTTTTTTTTTTTTTTTTTTTTTTTTTTGATGA